GAGGGTTAAACCAGGCTGCTCCTTGGAGGCAAGGATTCTGGGGCTTTGTCTGACATACTTTGGACATGTTGTAAGGAGGGACCAGTCCTTGGAGAGGGACTGCGTGCTTGGGAGGGTGGAGGGACAGCGCAGGAGGAGAAGGCCCTCTATGAGTTGGATTGATTCAGTGACTGGGGTAATTGGGATGGGTGTGTCAGAGGCAGTGCAATTGGCACAGGATAGAGCAGGGTTTAGGGCTTTTGTAAATAGGGTCGCTATGAGTTGCAAATGACTCGACGGCACATAAAAACAAACAACAACATATCATCTGCATATATTGTTGTTGTTACATGCCATCGAGTTGCATGGTACTGGTACAGTGACAGGCCCATAGACCAATGGAACAGAACTGAGATCCCACAAATAGACCCAACTATTTATGTTCAATTGATATTTGCCAAGGAAATAAAACCTATCAAATGGGGAAATGACAAGGTCTTCAAGAAATGGTTCTGGCAAAACTGGACTGCTACCTACAGATAGCTGAAACACGATCCATAACTCACACCATACACATAAATCAACTCAAGGTGTATAAGAGACTTGAGAGTAAAGGCAAAAACCATAAAGTGCATAAGAGACAAAATGGTATCAAGCTTCGATGGCCTAGGCTAAGTATAAGGAGACTGCCAAATACAGCCAGAAATGCACAATCTGAAGAGGATAAAATTGATGAATAGGACCTTCTAAAGATTAAGTCCCTGTGTGCTTCAACAACTTTTCTAACAGAATGAAAAGAAAACCTACCAAGTGGAAAAAAACATTCAGCAATACCATTTCAGATAAGGGTCTCATTTAAAAGTTTACAGAATCCTACAGGGCCTCCACAAGAAAAAGACTGATAACACAGTTACAAAGAGCAAAAGACATGGAAAGAATTATCATGAAGAAAGATATTCAGAGATTCAACAGACACATAAAGAAATGCTCTAAATCAGTGGCAATAAGAGATATGCAAATCAAAACCATAATGAGGTACCATCTCACTCAAGTAACAGTGGCAAAGTTTAACAGGACAGCAAGTTAAATGTTGGAGAGAATGTGGTGAGATAGGAACCCTTATACATTGTTGGTGGGATTGTGAAATGGTACAACCATTCTGGAAGGCAGTTTGGCACTTCCTCAAAAAGCTAAACATAGAATTTCCGTATGACCCAGCTATTCCATCACTTGGAATATACCTTGGGAAAATGAGAACTGAGGCTCAAATGGAGACTTGTACACCAATGTTCATAGCGGTGTTATATACCATTTCTAGAACATGGAAACAGCTCAGTTGTCCAACCACAATCGAATGAATTGAGAAATTATGGGATATTCACACAACAGAATACTATGCATCATGCAGGAACATGCCCTAACTTGGGAGGAGATGGAGAGCATTATGCTGCATGAACTATTCAGTCCCTTAAAGACAAATACTGTATAACACCATTATTATAGAATGAGTATGAGGATCCAAAAGGGGGAGGATGGAAGAAGAGAGGTAAGGGTGGGTAGTGAGGGGGTGTGTTAATCATAGGGTCACAAAATTTGATGTGTATGGGGGGGTGAAGGAAATGAGAAAGATCTTGAGTGAAAAATAGTGTTATTCGAACTTTGTAAATAAATCAGTATAAAACAAAACACTACACATAACATAAAAAGCACTACACATTATATCTAGATATAGATAGATGATGAT